ATCTTATATATGACATTAATTATTGTTCCACTTGACTTAAACTATGATCCTAATCACAAATATTTTAAATTTATTTCATACTATTATTATTTCATGTATTTACACCTTTGACCTAATTCCCTCACCGGATATAATTTCTTTATAAAACCATATATATACGATTGTACAGCTTGATAATAAATTCGTTGAAAAGAGTCTCTTCGCTGAAAATTTGTGTTCGTAATGCAATTTATCTTAATTTTGATCTCTCATACTCTCTCTCGCCTGATCTATTTGAACATGACCTGGAAAACATTCCCACCTGTCTTTCTGCATGACTAATTCAGTGTAGTTGGTTTACTTATCAGTCTTATATCTCCCAATGTAATTTCAATGGTGTATATATATCCGTGTATGTAGAGTATTCAGTGGCTGATGAGTTCTACCGAAATTTGATGAATTCATTAAATCATCCTGCTTTATTAACCTGCTTTGTTGCTTGTTTTAAATTCGTATCGGGAAATAAATATTTTCAATTCATTGCTACTCAATTTGTGAATTACTCATCTGTCTTCACAGCGTAACTCTTTCGCCCTAGTATCCAGATATTTATCTTTTTCAAGTACTGGTATTTAACGGAATTTAAGTAAGACATTAAAAAGATAAATATCGCGAGATGAGGTAAACATTTCTCGGTTGCTTTACGCTAACTTCACCAATAGCATAGTTTACAGCAATAAAGCAAAATGTTTCAAAGTATTGGTTTTGTAGGGATTTTTGTTTTGATTAGCTGGAGGATTTCATCATGAGCCGATATCAGTTAGAGGATCATTAGAAAACCTAGCAGGGAGTACTGGACGGCTGCGTCGTCCTAGTGTGGGACTTGGTTCGAACCCTGGTGGGTGCATACTGATGAAGAGTCCCAAACTAGGCGGACAAAACAGCTGTCCAGTACTCCCAGGTTTTCCAATGGTTCTCAAATTGATGTCGGCTCGTGATGAAATCCTCCAACTAATTTATCCTTTTGTTTAAACTTGAGCTCTTAGTGTACAAACTGTTTAAGTGTAGTTCTTCAGCACTGTTCAATAAGTTTGGAATCCCCCTTCAGCTGACCTTTGCAGGTATGTAAAAAATATTCTGTACATAAACTTAATAATTTTTTAAGCAGTACTCAGCTTATTGGGCGCCGGTGAATAATTATTTCCGTCTCACACAAATTCATACAGAGGAGTACTTATATCAAATAGACTGTTCACTAATCAGCTGCCTTTCAAACTTTCTTGTTGCTTTTTCCATTTACGGCCGGCTATTTCGTCTGCATCAATCGATCCAGTAAAAGCAGATGCTGACGGAAGCCATCACAGTCCATTGTAGGCGCCTTCAGTGGAACTCGTACCAAGTCTCTAAATTCATATATAAGCGCTAAATGATTTGACAACAGTGTTACAAATTCCTATCCTGTTCATTGCAGTAGTTTTGCACACTGATTTCAGAGTACTAAACGCTTGCTTTCTTGATCCAGCCTTGGTTGACTGGTTCTGATATCCTCATAAGCGGGCATTGATTGTAGTTGAGACAATTTTGGCCAACCAGATAAGTGGAAGAAATGAATTTATTTTGATTCCTCGTGTTCGTCGTTATTGGTGTTGTCTGTGTACTATCATCACCAATGTCTTCTCTGTATTTACCTGAAGTTCCTCCTTCGATGTATGCCTCTTCTATCAACTTCTTGGTTTTCGTTTTCAATCTTCAATTTTGTACAAAATGTGACACTGATCGCTAGCGAAATACGAATCTTTTACTGTACTTCTGTCAATTCAACAAATAGCTGTCTTCTTACTCCTTACTGTCTGCCGATTGATCCAGCCCACCACGATTGACAAGGTCATCAGTTGTGTTAGTAACTACCTTTGTTTTACTCCTGTCTTCATTTCAGTTGTATCGGTGAGCTTTGCGTTGTGAACTACTTCGCACAGGGTCTCATCATATGGGTGCTGAATGAAGTTTATAAAGGTTTGTGTCTCTGCACTCCTGAATGTGTTGAAGCAATTATTAAATTACTTCATGGTCGACACATTCGGAGGCTGGTAAAAAAAAAATCAACTACAAGTCAGTAACGGTATGAGTACTATTCACCTACTCACATCAGCTAATAGCATATGTAATGTCGGCGATTTCGCTTAGCTTCTTGATGCCGTTTATAGCATGTGAAGCTAATCACCTATTGTGAACTGAAGGTGTTTAGTTTTCGCGAACATTTCCGTGGTCATACTCGAATAAACAAGTCTAATCCTTACTGATGCTCACTAGTGACTTCCTACAGGAGAGGGTTTCTTGTAATTCTAGTGAGAAGTTGTGACCAGTAAGGTCCATTCAGCCAAGTATGAGGATGTATGTCCCACTGATGACATTGGTTGTTGCCAGTCGCGCTAAGTGCACCATAAAGTGGTAGAAGTTAGAATTCATGTAGTGGCAATTAAATCATATACCAGGGGCTGAATGGTATAAGAGATGGCGTTGTAACCGGAAGGTCCTGGGTTCGATCCCCGGCAGTGGGTTCGTACTGTCGATGACTCCCAAACTAGGATAAAACATCAGTCCAGTACTCCGATTCTCGTTTCCAATGGTTCTCTAACTTATATCACTCCGCGGGCAAACTCTCTTAAAGTAAAACAATCATTTTGTTTGATGTATATGAAAAATTAAACTGAGGTAGTTAACCAAAGTCGTCGTTTGCCCTCCGATTAACTGCAAGGCTGCTTACCATTATCACTGACGATATCCCTGATTGTAGTGAACTGGATCATTTGGCAGATAGTCACGACTTCCCAGTAGAACTACAAGCAACTTTACTCTGTAATCTGTCCCTAGTGAGCATTAGATTGAATTTCAAGTCTTGTGATTTGCAGCGAATTAAAATTCAGTGGCGATTGGATTTAAGATGAAATCAAATCACCAGTAAGTTATACACCTCTCCCAAATGTTAATAAATGATAAATATTGAATAATCTGCCGATCGAATTGCAAATGTACGCATGATCATTGAACAGAGCAAAGAATGTCAGTCAAACCTCTAACTCATCTGCACTGACTCTGAAAGGCCGTGGACAACATTGATCGCAAAGTAATTTGGAAACTACTGGAATAATACGGTGAGCAATGCCCCAAACATTTATCAACCTAATTCAACTGCTGTTTGACAAAGATATGTGCCAAGTGATTCACAACTGGAAGCGTAGTGAAGACATTGAAGTGGGTACAGGAGTAAAACAAGGTTATCCCCCACGATGATATTCCTAATTGTCGTAGATTAGATTAAGCGTCAGACTGTAAATGACAGCGAGAAGACAAGAATACGTTGGGCTGATAAGAAAACTCTGGAAGAATTGAATTCCGCGGGTAATTCATCTATAACTTTACACAAACTTGAAGACTTACACGTGAAAACCAACAAGGTGACAGGACGAAAGGGCTCCGGGTAAACACAGAAAAGACAGAAGTAATCAAAATGACCAATCAACAGCAACAATGGAATGCACCAATAACCATCAGTGGGAGAAATTTGAACGAGAACTCGTCTTTCACTTATCTAAGCAGCACCTTTTCAACTATAGACAGTCGGCATGTGTGAGAATGCCAAAATTATAATTAGAAAAGCAAACGCAGATATTCATTACTCTAAAATCAGTGTGGAAATCTGTTCTCCATTCAGTATAAAGAACAAAATTCGGATTTTCAGTTCTTTTGTACGATTCAAAGACTTAGCGTCACCGAAATCATTTCCAAAAGGCTGCCACATATTCCTCTGTTAACAGCTGTCTTCATTACATACTAATAATCAGAAGGCCGACTGAAAAGAGCAGGCAAAGGGAAGCTCTGAGAAAGAACCAATCAACAGCCTACTGTCCTAAAATTAAACCGAAGGAACTAGAGATGGATTGGACAAACACTGAGAAGACTGTTGAGTGAATCTGAATAGGAAGTGATAAGCCGAGCTTAAGTCTGAGAGTGACATGGTGAGAGAAATAAAAAAAACTTATAGGCGATCACTGAACCAACTTAGAAAAGATCTATAGAGAACACAGTGATATAGTGATGCGCCGCTGAAGGTATATATTCCCCTTGGAATCTAAGGGAATGAAAGCGTTAGTGTAAAGAGACAGCTGGCTGCAAACCGAAATTGTAGACAGCAACTGACGTCAATGTTTACATCCCTGAGGAACTCAACAACCAATCACAGCAGAATTAACATGTAAAAATACGATTCGCAGAAATATGGCTTAACTTTCTGAGAAACAGTCACAAGTAGTACAGAATAGCCTTCAGCAAAGAAATAACCAATCATAAGAGGTTGCTTCTCTGCTATCAATAACGCTAATAATAGTATACATAAAAATCTATGAATATCTGTTGATTTTCTCAATAATGGATCTGTTGCTTGGCCCTCGTCTTCTGTCATTACAACAGAATTGTAAGACATAGTACTTGGATCTGATCACTCCCCTCTACCTCGCGGTAAGATTTCAATTTAGAGGTTGTAAAGTTCGAATCTTGCAGCGACGCATATGTGCATTTCATCGCTTATATTTATCACTCCTCATTAAATCAACATCAATTTGACCAATACAAGGTCACCTCGGATAGTCTCATCATCATCAACATGTATAATGGTCACTTAAAAGTCCGAAGCCAAGTCAATCAATCTATCGATCGAGAACTAATTAGCATTCACCAATTAACGTCATTCTTTTCCATAGTTTTGTTAAAAAGCAAATTTATTCATAAACGAACATTATTTTTGAGTGTATTTCTAATTTATACTTTTGTTTACTAATAATAATGAGTACAAGACAAAATAAAAGAGACAATGTGAAATGCAAATCGCATTCGTTAATTTTAGGGGTGAAAGGAATTTTGTCAAGTTTTTCTGTCTTTCCCTATGCGTATATGTGTGTATTTGCATGTATTGAAGTGAGTTTTCTATCGTCTTTGAACTTTATATCCTTCCCACTTAGTCACCCCTCCACATTAATGCTCATCTATAAATAGAAATGTGACATTTGTTCATTAATATCTTGAATAGATAATTCACCATAATGCTCTGGATTTGACTGAATTAAAAATATAATTTGTTCAATTGTTTTTGACGTATTTCATTCTCTTCATTTTGTTCATCAATTGTTAATGTTTTAAATTGTTCATTTAATTGTAACTTTTTTAGACTGCACAATGAATTTAAATTGTTCAATGTTTCATATTTATTGTTTTTATAGGCGTCAACAGATTGAGTATTATTACTAGCATTATCTTGTACAATTTTAACGCTACAATGTTCAATGTTCAATTCATTTTGTTTTTAATGATTTCTGCATTCCGAGGATTGTCATTGTTACAGGTATCTAAACAGGTAAATAAACAAATAATGAAAAATTAGTGAATTGGAAGAAGTTAGAATTCATGGACTGGCTGGTCATTGAGTCATGTCCCAGTGACTGAATGGTCTACGAGCTCACTAGCCTTGTAACCAGAAGGTCCTGAGTTCGAACTCTGCGGTATGACAACGATCCATAAGCCTTCAAACAATCCCGTGAGTTCCAGTGGAGAGCTTTGATTAGTAGGAAGTATGTTGTCGATTCCCTCTTCGCAGCCAAAACATTACCATGTCACACAGTCGAATTCCACCTTAGGATTATAAATTATCGCAGTTGTTGAATACCAGAAAGGTAAGCCCATATTCCAGACTCTACTGAAGTGTGGAAGCTGTAATCAATCTGCCCTTTCTGCTGGCATATAGAGAATTCTAGAAAATTCACAGGACAATCACGCCATGTATAGTAGACAACCTGTAAAGCCATATAACTATGTTGATATACATATGCGTGATAAGGCCATCCAACATATGAGATATTATAGAAATTCAGTCAGTTGGTCGTTCGAAGCGCATCCCGTCAAAAAGGGTCAAAGAACACTATCCAGCATGGCTGCAGAAAGGAAGTAGTGCCCGTATAAGGAGTGCAATAATCGAATATCTCGTCACTACTGGTCATTCCATCTCAACAAATGCCTCCTTCAATGTAATCCACAAAGTGAAGAACGATCTGCCAAAGGCAACACGTTTCCGTCTTCTTTGCATTGCAGAAGCCCTAGCCATTCGGTCAGAAGAACCAGAACTTTGCATACAAAAAAAATTATTCAACCACTTCTACTGTCATGGTAACAACTCTGTTGATATGACTTAACTTCCGCTTGTATACTTATTTTCTAGCTACTTAAAACTCTTACATCATTCTGTATTTTATTTTGTTTCCATGTACACCCTGAGCACAACTCTTTCATAAAACTATTCATATCATTATGTAACTCTTCTTAAACAATCGTTTGTGACAATTCATCATTGTTGTATTACTCTCTTATATCAACTACCAGTTCCTCTGAGAGCTTTATGTATTACGTAACTCCACCAAAAGCTTACTAAGTGTATTTCCGTTTGGCTATGGATTTCATCATAAGCTTATATCGGTTAGAGAACCATCGGAAAACCTTGGAGTACTGCCAGACACCTGATTCTGTTGTCCTAGTTTGGGACTCTTCTGTAGTATGCACTCGCCATCAGAGTTCAAACCCGGGACCTTTTGGTTACAAGGCAAGCTAGCTGGTAACCCTTCTTTATTAGTCTGACAAGGTAATAAAGATAAAGCATAGGTTCAAAGTCGAACAAAAGCCTTCAGCAGTATATATCTTCGTTTCACTCTCTTATCTAAAGTCTTTTAAAAGCTTGTTCCAAGATTGTCCACAAGCTTTCATTTGCTCCTCTTTACATAATGATCTCTGTGTTACCCTTGGACCAACGCCCAACTCGCAGTTTTCAATTCGGGTTCTACTCATTGGCTTGGCGTGTGATGTCATTCGACGATCTTCTAAGAGTATGTCTAAGTTATATCTACTATTTTTCCGAATATTTTTTTGAACGATTATATGTTTGTTGGTTCGTTTCCAGAGTCCCCTTTTTGCTTCTTCTTTCTAGCCAGCTATCTGGTCTTCACTATTGAACAAAGGTATCTATTGGTTACAGTCCGCCACTGCCTGTTAGGAAAATGTTTTTCGTGACGCGCTGTGTCTGTGAACCATACAGAAACAGTGACTGACTTCACAGCACTGTTACATATTCATCAGTCGTTCACCTTTGACTAAATACACGTAAGTAGACTCAAATTCTAGCCCACCATGTGGGCGTAAGTTCGAATCCCACCTCCGATACAGGCTTGTAAGTCGGTGGTACAGCAGTGGAATGCTCACAAATCACGCCTCATGTGGTACAGCGCTCGATTCCCAGCCAACAACGTACTCCTTTACCTCACAAGACCCGTAATAAAATCGGTAAAAAGGGAAGGTTGGGCATGAGGCGGATAGCAACGCCATCTCATAAAATAAACACCAGTGTTACCGAAACTTCAAAGCTCTAGACCTTGAATCCTTATGTTCCACTGGGAGCCTAAAGGAATTAAAAAAAAGAAATTGAAGCTAATGACGATCCAAAATGACTCAACATTCCATTTCTCCATTACTCCACATAGTGAATAATATACATTGTTTCATAATATTGTTCGTGTACTGACAAAGACGGTAAATGATCACATTATATACAACTTTAAACAATTACTAAAAATCGAATTTATCATTCTTAGTTGAATAATTTTCATTTTTTCTAAGAGAACACCATCTTTTCACAATGAAAAAGATAAAAAAAAACACGTGAATTCTTCCTTATGAATATTCATACTTTAATTCAAATATGAAACTTAATTTTAAAAGTGATATGTATCCGTTTATATATATATGTGTGTGTGTATGTTGGTCTCTCTTTCTGTTTGCTCGCTTAGTCTGTGACCATTTCACTTGTATGAACTTGTCTCCTTTATCAATGTATATTCTCCTTATATTATATTATATATAATATGAGTGTTTGTTGACAGTCCGTTGCTTGGTGACATATATCCATATTATATGTTTGGTTGTTGACATGTCTGCTATATTCCGCTATGTATATATGGATCGATACTTCATTATAATTAGCCATTCATGTTAAGACTGTCCATTGATTTGTTCACACACTTTTGTCTGGACATTCATATATATTTCGCTCACACAATTTGTGTGACTACTTTGGTGTGATACCAGTTTTGCATTCTCCTTTTGTCTGGAAAATAGAAGTATCATCGCAAACCTAGTGGTCTTCTGATTTCCGTCTTTCTTGCGTCAGGACTATTTAATTCTCGACCAGTACATAACAATAACTTAGCGACGAGTACATAACAGTCACACAGACCCCAAGACTTACAGGTGAAAAGCAACAAACCAGCAGAGAAGACAGGACTGCAGGTAAACGCGTAGAAGATGGAGGTGATGAAGATAACCGACTAGCCGACTGTAACGACAACAACCAGCACCAATCACCATCAACGGGAGAGATTTAGCAGAGGCTGCCTATTTCATTAATATTGGAAGCATCTCGTTTCAACTACAGGCCAGCAGGATGGATGAAGATGACAAAGTCAGCCAATCAGAATCGGAAAGGCAAGATACGCCTTCATCAACATGAAACCAGTTTGGAAATCTTCTGTACTCAGAATAAGGAACAAAATTCGGATTTTCAACACTAATGCCAAGTTGGCCCTTCTAAACGGATTTCAAACAGCCTATTGCAGACTTTTATCAGTAGCTGCCCCTTTCTCTGGCTGACTGCATACTGAAGATCAAATCACCAAAAGGAACTAGCAAACAAAAGTTCTTGCTGGGAGAGAACCAACCAAAGGTCGACTGCTCAACAGATATGTAGGAGAAAATGGAGATCGATGCATCGGTCATACACTGAGGAGACCTTCGAATGACATCACGGTCCAGGCCAACACTCGAGTGAAACCTCTATGGGAAGCGACGAGTGGGTCATCAGTGTGAGGGCTGCATGAAGGAGATCGTGTGTTGGTGAGGAGGAGATGACAGATTATGGGCAGTCATGGACCCAGTTGAAGAGGACAGCAGAAAATAGGGGAAAGTACAGGTGTGTTGTTGAAGCCCTATGTTCTACTCTGAACGCATGAAAATAATAATAATAATAATACGTTGGTGGGTGGTGACTACCTGTGGAATCCAGCCTGATTCACTTCTTCCTATTTGGGACTCAATTATCTAAATGTACATGAAATTCCCATGCTAGTCACCATCTACTAAATAATGCTTCACTACTGGCATGCATTATCTTTATTCATTTAAAGGAGTAAGTATAAATTTTCACAGAGGAAACTTCCATTTCGACAAGAATATGACCTACTCAGGGTCCTAGATGACATTAATAATTTGATTAAAACGGAAATAGAATAGAAAACAAAACCGCAAAATGTACTACTTATTGAAATGTATAGTGAGACTGAACATCAACTAACCTTTAGTTTGCTTTGCTTCCTGGGTTGCTGCATCAGACTTAGCAGAAATTTCTTTCTCAGTAGAATTATTATTGGATTCTACCGCTGTACTGTCCTTATCATTTGACTTTTCCGTGATTTTCTCATCTTTCGACTCTTTCTTCACTTGTTTTACCGGCTTTTTATCCTTCATATTCGGTTGTGATAACAGTACAGACATAAATGGACAAGAGGCGAACAGCTTTTCTAATTCTTCATGGGAATTGACAAATGACGGCAGTTTAACCGGTTTCCTTCCATGTCCTGACATATTTAATATTCGAAATGGGATTTATATTTGTCGCGTATTAAATTTAATATATATTTAGTGAATCTATTTATATTAATATCACCGAATATTCGTCAGTTATTAAGTTATTTAGTTAGTCAGTTGCTTTACGCCCTTCTAAATAGTCTGAAAATCAAGTGGAAATTGGACGATAACCGAATTGCTTATTGGCGTAGAGTAAATGAACCAATAAAAGTCAAAATAGTGATAAAATTATCTCTATGGAAAGGTAAGATAATTTTTGTAATTTTCGTGAATCGGCAGAAGTTAGAATTCAAGGACCATTGGATCGGGTCCCAGTGGCCCAATGGTCTACGAGCTCGCCTTGTAACCAGAAGGTCCTGGGTTCGAATCCCGGTGGGTGCGTACTGATGAGGAGTCCCAAACTAGGACGAAACAGCTGTCTAGTACTCCCAGGTTTTCTAGTGATTCTCTAACTGATGTCAGCTCATGATTAAATCCTCTATGCAATTTTTGTACAGTCTTATTTTTTCCCAAAGACGAAAAAACTACTCTACATGAACCTTCATTTCAATGGAGATATATCTGCAGAAACATTAAAATATCGACTCTCGCGTTCACTTAAGAAGGCCTTCTTTGCAGCTGAACTACGACTAAACTTCCCTACAAAACCTATGATTCATGTGAACGTGAAGCATAAGCTACACTGCTGGCCTCATCAATGTGTATTTATGGATTCACCTGCTCGTGTGGAGCCAGGTATGTCAGCCGTACCCAGCGTTCGCTTTCTAAAGGTATCACCGAACACTTACCAACATAGTTTTACAAAGGAGAAAAACGATGCCCCCGCAGCTCCATCTTAGAACATCTGATAGAATCTGGATACCAAGCCACACCACAAACAAACTTCAAAGTCGTCTACAGAGTAAGAAGTAGTCTTCCTAAAGGTGTACGAATCAGACTTCTTCAAACTGCAGAAGCAATGGCACTTGGTAAGTCCTCAACTCTGCATGAAGAAGAAGTTCATTCAATCACTACACTTGAAATGAACGTAATCTATCTTATTATCCGACAAGTAAATTCTACCTAGTCCTTTTTTTATGTCTCTTCATTAGTATTATTTTGTCTTCTCAGTTGTAATATTTTACATTTTCAACTTTCTTATTCTCTACACCTACTCCCACCCGATTTAATTTCTACACATCACTACCACATGTTACTGACTTGACTAACGCTCAGTTTCTAGTCATTTATGTTATGTCATCCAACTTAATTGCTCAATTGCAGTTCTAATTTAAATGGCATCATTATCTACCCCACTTCTATTTAGTCTCTCTCTCTACCTGTAATTACCTCTGTTGCTATATTATGCATTATATTGCGTCATATAACTTACTAACTCAATCTTACTTTAGCTGTCGTCTAATTAATCTTGTTTCTATATTAGATCATTCTTGTATTACTTGATCAATTATCTAAACTTGACAAACCTCATGTACATACAACACAGAAAATGATTGCATATAAATGCGATTGTACAGCTATGTGAATGAATTCGCCATCTAAAAGATTCTCTTCGCTGAACTTCTTCTCTTTCTTAAAGAAAATTTACTGCTTTCATCTGGTGTTCTACTGATAGGATTTTTAAAAGTTAGATTTGTAAGGAGTAGATTTGTTGATACGAGTTTGACGACGGATTGATATCAGTTAGAGAACCATTGAAAACCAGCTGAAGGAGTACTAGACAGTGGTTTCATTCTACTTTGGGAATCGTCGGCAATGTATGCACTCACTGACGGGATTCGAGTTCAGGACCTTTAGGTTACAAGGCAGGCCCGTAGACTATGGGATCCAACTCTTGAAAATTAGTTACGGGGATTTCAGCATGAGCTGACATCAGTTAGAGAACTATTGGAAAACCTGCCAAGGTTGTACTGGACAGCTGTTTCGTCAGCGTGGTTTCGGACTCTTCATCGGTATGCATCCACCCCGCTGGGTTTCGAACCCGGGACCTTCTGGTTACAAGGCGAGCCAGCTCGTAGACCATTAAGCCACTGGGAACCGATCCAATGGCCAACGTTATATGACTCTTAACTTCTGCCAATTCACGACATAGTGCAACCATTAGCCAATGTATTTGGTGAGTATTTGTCCTCACACCCAAACTGCCGCACCCTACGGGTCATGACTTCACACTAGAACCTCAGGTAACTACCTACCTGAATAGGCCCAGTCGACAGTGAGCATCTCATTAATATTCAAGTATTGGTTCTTTTGCGGATTTTATTGATTGGTTACAGCATTTTATCATGAGCTGACATTGGTTAGAGAGTCACAAAATAGGACGAAACAGCTGTCCAGTACTTCCAGGCTTTCCAATGGTTCTATGACCAATTTCAGCTCATAATGAAATCCCTACGAACCAGTTCTTGAAAATGAATATGATGCTCGCTAGTGACTTGCTACAGGAGAAAGTTTCTTGGAGTTCTAGTGGGAAGTCGTGACCAGTGAGGTCCATCCAGTCAGGTGTGAGGATAAATGTCCCTCCGATGACATTTGTTGATGCCAGTCACGCTACATGCACCATGAACCGGTAGAAGTTAGAATTTATGGAATGGCCATTGAATCGGGTCCAGGTGGCTGAATGGTATACGAGCCAGCTTGCCTTGTAACCGGAAAGTCTTAGGTTCGAAACCTGGCAGTCGGTTCGGACTGCCGATGATTCTCAAACTAGGATGAAATAACTGTCCAGTACTCCAGTTCTTCTTTTCAATGGTTCTCCAACTGACAGGATTGATCAATAGTAAATAAAGAGACTCTAATTGGCGTGGGACGTCGTTACTAGTAGGGTGCAGCAGGTCGGGTGTGAGGACAAGTACTCGCCGAAGACATTGGCTAGCGGTCGCGCTATGTCGTGAATTGGCAGAAGTTGGAATTCATGGGCCAGTGGATCGGATCACAGTGGCCTAATGGTCTACGAGCTGGCTCGCCTTGTAACCAGAAGGTCCTGGGTTCGAACCCCAGTGGGTGCGTACTGATGAAGAGTCCCAAACTAGGACGAAACACCTGGCTGTCCAGTACTCCTTAGCAGGTTTTCCAATGGTTTTCTAACTAATGTCAGCTCATAATGAAATCCTGAAACCAATTAAATCCCTACAAACCAACATTTGAAGACTCTAATTGGCACAAAAACATCAAATAGCGGAGGGATAAATTTGATGTCAAAAAGAGAAATATGGGAGACACAAAAAGAAGACAATAAGTAGGGCAGAATTAGTACAACATAGAAGATTTGTGCAGATGACGGATTTCATATATGATATACATAATCTCCATATATGTGGTTGATGATTGGTAATGCAATCCAAGATTCGCACTTCGTCCTATTTGGGAACCATCCTCTGCACTTATCTGCAATCCTCAGTGAGCGATGATGTTCCTGTAACGGTAGAAGAAAACAGACTTGATATAAGAATGTTTGTTTGAAACTTGGTATCGCTGCATAGCTAAATTATGTGCACCTTATCTGAAAATCATCATTTATACAAATATCCTTTATTGCGCTACTTCTGGTCTTCCTTCAACTTGTGTTTCATTGTGATGCTTTCACGTCTCCCATTTTTCTCCAGGACTCTGAATCATTTGCTTTCTCTGATGTCAAATCTATCTCCCTCCAATTTGATATTTTTTATGCTGATGAACGCCTGTTTATATATCACTGATAAATCTTATCAGTTGCACACACCACATCCCCCTCCCCATTAAGAGTCTAACCCAACGCCCTTCCTTACTAACTTTTTGAGACCACTTGGACCATAGGAAAATCATAATTGAAGTAAAGAGATAATAATTTATGCCTCTTAAATGGTGGTCTACTGGATAACACTTTGGTGTTTCATAGGAAGAGTACTGGGTTTCAGTTTCATTTGAAGCACTGTAGTAAGTGCTGCTTATAAGCAGATATAAGTAGTATATCAACAAACGAGTTCAGAAAAGCGACAGTGTTTCAGACACTGAAAAAAAGCAATCGAAGAACAGAACTGTAACATGAACGTTAGAAACACTGCGCAGAATACATCAAGCTATCGAATGCGGTGATATTCGACCAATTTGCAAATGATGTGCAAATAAAGCATTGGCGATATAGTATACCAAATTGAAGCATGCGCTGAAGATGTCACCCAGTAGGGCGATGAAAGCTTCGCAAACTAACCATCCAGCTCAGAGAACAAAACCACATCAAAATTATCCACCTGAGCTACAAATCTTCTCTATCATATATAGTATACCAAATTTATCTATGTACAATGAGGTGGTGAGAAGTCGCCGGGGCACTGAAGTCCCGGAATCTGAAGCTTGGTCAGGACAGGAATCCGTTGGTTCTCACAGTGACGCTGACAAATCTTCAGCAACGTGCGTTATCCACTTTGGACGAATATTCACGAGAGCAGTTGGCAGCTTCCCAGTTCCACGAATACGTCCCTACGGATACTGCTCATCAATTGTAGCCAGTTAACGCAGCTCAGCCAATAAATTTTCACGAAATGGCCAAAGACAAACGATGACTCCGTATGTTGCTCCAGTGATGACGGAGTGCCAAGAAGATTGAAGAGTTGAGTCCAGCCTCATTGGTCTTTTCTTCCTTACAGCACCACCGCTTACTGGGACGAAATGAGTCACTCGGACTGCAATTATAGTCACTGTCCACTTAAATATTACATGGTAGGATAACTGTTAAGCACTCTTGCGGAATTAGTTTTTTTTAATTATTTTATTCAAAGCGTATCGGATGGACAATAGGGCCTCAAACATGATCTGTGTAGTTTCTGTAGCAGTAGTGGTTTTTACGGGGTTGGATTGTTAGTCTCACGCCAAACCTTCACACTTTATCTGGCTTACAACCGGCCAGGGAAGGTAAAGATGAGCACTGGCCATGAATCGAACCCTGGACCACATGCATGGCAAGCGAGTATCCTATCTCTGATCCACTAACACTGCAGAATTAGTGATTATAGCTAAAT